CCCCCACAGACCAGCATGCCCATAGTCCTACGCATACCCCCACAGACGAGCATACCCATAGTCTTACGCATACCCCCATAGACCAGCATACCCATAGTCTTACGCATACCCCCACAGACGAGCATACCCATAGTCAATACGCATGCGCGAACTGCGAAAAGTAGCCAACACTTGGAGAGGCCGACAGATCGCCATACCTTTCGTACATAACAAAAGGTATACACGCCTGTTGAGGTAGTTTACAGTGTATTTTTCGTACAAAACTAAAGGGATACTCGCGCGTTGAGGTAGTTTGAAGTGTATTTACAGAAGGGTCTAGCTGCACCTGCAGCCATCTACAAAACGCGTCCCGTACAAAACACACCTCCCGCACAGCCAATCGTTGATTTTGATTTGGACATTACGTCATCTTGGATACAGATTAATTGAAGTGAATCAAACGTGAGCATGATGCTTACTACCAGCAAGGTTGTAGTTAGCACAAAAAAAAGTAATGATAATCTTGTTCAATGCTGGGATTAAAGAAACGGTTCAATCGATGATCAAATTGATGTACAATTTTGCCACGTTTTTTATATGCTTATATCTTCTAATTTTCCAGGGACTGCACATGCTTTAAATACGAAATTGTTATGAATAGCATTTCTAAGTTAATTTGTAAACAAAAGTACTTGACTTTGGGTGTGGTTTTCTGGTAAGTTTGTGTGTTTACCTTAAACTACAACCTTTTGTTTATCATATCACGCATAAAGTAGTCTAGTAAACTTCGTCAATGTTAATCTCTTAGATTTCTGCTAAAGGTAGCGCATATATATTAACTATGGGTATGCTGGTCTGTCGGGGTATGCTGACCTGACAGAACACCGGACGCTCACCACCCGGTCAGCCGGACATGTGGAAGGGAGGTAGATGCCAGAGAGGGAGACGGGACGGGAGGTCAAGCTTCAGCCTGACCAGTCGACCTTATGGTCAGCTAGCAGCTTGGGCTATGACCTGTGGGCTCCCGTCAGAACCTGTGCCCCTGAGGTAGTTTCATAAGAGAACTGAGTCACACACACTCGGACAAAACTAGGTTCATCTTTTTGTTTAAATTTATTACAATTATTGGTCACACTTGACACTTGACTTGGTGGCTTTAGACACTTCCTCTATGCTTCTTGTACATCAATATGCCACTTAAGACAAAGCAGCTTGTAAACATTTGAAAATATGTATCAAAGAGATAAAGCAGGAGCAGTATAATTTTTCTTTTTTAAATCCAATTTTTTACAATTTAAGGAAACTAGAGGGTGCGGGAAACACACAATACATTTAAAGAAACAGGTAAATGACTCCAACAACAAAAGTTTTATATGGCCTTTGGGGTCTTTTAAAGCTATTTTATTTCTGTTTTTACTAAGAAATTTACAGCAATGTTATATAAGCTTCCTATCCCAATGGGTATATAAACTCTAATAAATAAATATTGTTTGGCAGTGCCCAATTACAAGTCGTCAAAAATTATTTCATAAAAGATGATACTCGACTCTATTGGTGTATATAAAATACAAGTGCATAATTGTGTTCTTCCCTTTGGAAAATATACATTTCTGAGTAAGTAAACGTTGGTCGATCGAAGGGGAAATCTGAGTCGCAGAACAGGAACCCCCGAAGATTTAAGTGCAAACGTTTTCATCACAACATCTGCATTTACAATATCAACACGATATCAAAACGGTCAAAAATATATAAAACATCATATTTCTCCCGATAAGGCTTCGATTCCTTAAAAAAAAGAAGAAGAAATAAAACAGCCAACATCACCTGGAGGGAAAAAAAAACATACACAAAGTGAACATTAAATCAGAGAACTTCGAAGAATGGACATCTAACTATTTCAACGTTACAAAAATAGAAAAAAAAATCCATCTAAAGATAATATTGCTGTCACGGGAAAATAAAAGAATACACAAAGAAGCTGAAGAGTTTTTTTTCATTTGCAGATACAGATTTGGATCCTTTCTGAATAAATCTGAGACGGCTGGGCTGTAAAACGCCAGCCAGGTCCCTTAAAAACAGGGGAAAACAGTTTTAAAAACACCCCCCCTCAGTTCTGCCCAGGTGTGTAGAAACGCACGCGTGGGCTGACCGGTGGGCTGACCAGCCATGTGTAAACAAGCGTGATGAGGTGGCACGGGGGGCGGTCAGTGTCCATGTCCGGGACGTATGGCTTCAGACTCCAGCTGCAGAGCGCTGCAGGACTGGTCAACGGGTCAGAAATGGTCCCCCGGTTTCAACGAAACCTCTGGGTTAAAGGCCAGAACTTCTGAGTGGTGACCGAAAGGACGAGACGTCAAGCAAAATGCGTGGAAATGAGTTTGTTCTCAGGAGGAAAACGGCTGATGATGAGGGTGGGGTCCGTCCACGGCTGGACGGAGGCTTTGAGGCTGCTGGTCAGGATCATTTGGCCGGTCATTGCATGTCTGGTGGCCTCCACCGTTGAGGCTAGATTGCTAAGAGTCAAGTCCCTCACTCACAGGTTCAGCGTGAGCTTTAAAGCCTGGAGGGGTTAGCAGAGCCGGGGCCGGTCAGTTTGCTGGACTCTGATTGGCTTGAATCGGACTGGATCACTGAAGTGCTTGTTGTGGTCATTCGGCACCGTCTGGACAAAACTGGACTGCATATCTGAACATGTTTCTTTGTAATGCAGTTCTTGTTACCTGTAGTTATGTTCTTTTTTCTTTCACATCTAGAGCATTTAGCTTTTTCCCGTGAAGTCTATTTCGATTTCTCCTTTGTTCCCCACTTCAGACTCATTTGTTTTCCTTTCTACAGTTTGGAATTTTACCAAGCCTGACTGAAAACCCGGCACGATTTAAAAAAAAAAAGCTGCTTCCCTCTGTTTTGGGGACCTGGAGCTGACATTGACCGTAGCTAATCGCACACAAAAGCAGATGACCGGTGGCGGCTTTATGGCTTTTGCTTTTTTCATTCCTGTGTGGGAAATGAGGCACGGCTGGCCACGATGGCTTTCAGGGCTATGGTACTACTCTACTACTTACTATACCTTTTGTTCTCCCTGTGAGGCGGGAGGGAGCGCAGGCTTAAAGGTGATGGAGCTGCATGGACACATGGGGGGGGGGGGGTGTCGGGTAAAAGCGCTTCGTTGACAACAGCTAGAGAGAAATCCCCAAAAAAAGGATAACGTGTGTCTTTGGAGGGCATAAACAGGAACTGGTGGTATGAAATCGGTCGGGTTTGGCCATTAAACTGCTGCCCAGCAAAAGGAGGGAGATCGGTCAGGAAAATGTGACCCTGCTACCTCTCAGCGTCCGAGCGCTTCAGCCCGCTCACTGTTACCATGGAGATCCCACCTCGCGTTGAATTGCTGAGACAGCAGCCCCCAGAATGAAGCGGACGAGAAGAATGCGTGAGGATGGAGGTGATGAGGCCCCTCCTATGTCTTCTGAGGGTCAGGGGAGATGGGCCCGGGCGTGTTGGTCCCGTCCAGGCTGTGCACCGGGATCTGGAACTGAGGGTTGAGGAC